ACACGTTTTATGAACTCCAGGCATTGTACTAGATGCAGTTAAAATTTGTAATGAAAGGAATTCTGTATTTTTAATTCACAAAACAATTAATTTGTATTGTTTCTGAACAGCTAGATCTGCATCTAAGCGACAGTTACAGGGGTCAAGTCACACCATAGGGCTCATATTTACAAATTTCAAATGATTATTAAAGCTAATCAATGCCTATAAAGTTTACCAATCTTCAACAATGGTTGGTTTAGCCTTCTGATGGCAGAACAAGGACTATTGGCAGGGGAACAGGACTATTGGCAGGATCAACAGGTAATTTGAGGGGAAACAAAAACGAGGGACGCACTGAGAACGATACAAGTATCGGTATCGATGTTGATAACCAAGTACTACAGATACCAGAACTTTCAGTATCAGGAAGCCAGGCAGCAAGTCATTACACGCCTCCCGGCTTCCTGATTGGCTGGGAAGTCGGCTCCATGCTCCCTCGTCACCAGAGAGCATGGAGCTGGCTTCCCAGCCAATCAGGAAGCTGGGGTTGAGGGGGACGGGCAATGATTAGCCCAACGACTTCCTGACTGGGAAGCCAGCTCCATGTTCCCTTGTCAATTATTGCCGAGGGAGCATTGAACCGGCTTCCGGGCCAATCAGGAAGCTGGGCGTGTGTAATCACTCGCCGCCTGGCTTCCTTATTGGTCAGGAAGCTGGCAAATAAGGAAGGCGGGTGGCAGGTCGTTACCTGCCCCCTGGTTCCCTGATTGGCAGGAAAGCCGGCTCTATGCTCCCTTGTCACCTGGTGAAGAGGGAACATAGAGACAGCTTCCCGGCTAATCAGGAAGCTGGGAGGCGAGTCATTGCACGTCGCCTGGCTTCCTTAATGGGACTTCCAGTATCGGTACTCGATACTAAAAAACTGGTATCGGTGCATCCCTAATAAAAACACAAACTTATGTTAATGCTAGTGTTTTAAAATGTATTTTATTTTTTATCCGATTAATCGAACTTAATAATCGGCTAACTAATCGATTTTGAAAATAATCGTTAGCTGCAGCTCTACTAGTGACCGTCTGCATCATATATGTAAGATAAGGACATAGGAAACACAAGAAGTATATAGGGGAAACCTGTACTTAAGGTATCGCCTTTAGGCAGGAGGGAGAGTGGGTGTGTGTGGTGGTGGTAATTAAAGCACAACTAAAGGGCAGTGGCAGCCTTAAGGCAGAAGCAGAGGAGACGGCAGCAGCATCAGATGGAGTGTGTATTGGAGGCTGGACCTGTGCCCACTGGAGACGGGTGCTGTATGAGCAAAGTGTGCCATGCTGTACATACTTGCACATTATGGCAAGAGCTCTCCCCCACACAGCGGAAATTAATTCATTTAAGATCCTCTTTAAAGCTAAACCCTGGGAATAATTCTAGGCTACCCTAGCGCTGGGCTCATTGTTTGCCGAGGGTAACTTTAAAACGCAGTTTTACTTCCCCAGGTTCCTCCTACCTATGTTACCGGTCCCCCAAAGGGTCTCCTCTTTGGCACTCTGTTCATCATCATGTACAATGATTGATTAGCAAATCCTGGGATTGTGAGGACGCAGAGGGCCCACCTATGACCCGAGGCATCTGAGAGAACAGGAGAGCGCAGGTTGCTGGAGGAGTGAGGGGCGATTCACAGCAGATGCATTGGGGCTGTGCTGGAAACATTTCCCAGCGCAGCTCCAACACACTGACATGGCAACGGTCATGTTTTCAATTGTCTCAGTTCAAACATCCATGCAGTACTTCATTTCAGTGTGGTACAAAGTAACAATGTACTATGGCTGTCGAACGCAAATGTAATTTGTGACATTTCATTAAAGTTCTAAAATAAATAAATGTGAGTAGCATCTGCAAATCTGCACGGTTTCTTTCATCACATAGCAGTGTTCGTGTGTTTAGCATAGCTTACTGCTGTGAATATAGGGGAAAAACTCCTCTTGTAATGGGGCTGTCCCCGTACTGCTAGTTAAAAGGAGAACTATGAGGTGAGTGCTTTTCACTCACCTCATAGTTCTAGCCGACCTGTGACAGTGAGACTGTCACAGGTCGGCTCAGTAGATCGGGAAGTGAGCGAACACATACCAGGTTCGCTCACCTCTCGATCCTGTCACGGCTCTCTGCCGCGACAGGGGAGGGGCTGGATTCCTCCCTTCCCGCTCGAAACCTCCAGCGCTGACTGGCGGAACGGATGGGGGAGGGTACAGCTGACTCTGCCTCTAGATAGGCAGAGCCAGCTGTCACTCACGCAGCTGGACGGATCCAGACATAATTGTCAGGATCCGCTTCAGCGTCTCAGTATACCGTGAGCTGTAGCTTGCGGTATACTGAGCTTAGGGTGACGGGAGGGCGCTAGTTTGTGTCCTCCCGTTACCCTAAGGAGAACGATGGGGAAAAGCCCTAACCCCATAGTTCTCCTTTAAATGCTTGTTTTGGTCTAGGGCAGGGGTAGGCAACTTTGGCTCTCCAGCTGTGCTAAAACTACAAATCCCATCATGCTTCTGCCTCTGGGAGTCATGCCTGTTGCTTGCAATGCCTTATGGAATTTGTAGTTTCAGCACAGCAGGAGAACCGAGGTTGCCTACCCCTGGTCTAGGGTAAAGAATTTGTATTGACCTGATCCTCACTGCTCCGGCTTGTTTTCTGTCCCTCGCACCCTCGTGTATACTGCAGTGCTATGGAACCAGCATTGTACGCGATGTCAGCAGGCCTCTGGCAAAAAGCTGTGGGAGAAGAAGCTACAGGTGGCCATTTTGGAGCCTGCAGGAATCACGCAAGTAAAAGACCTTTTCTCGCATACTCTAGACGTAAAATCATTTAACCCTTGCAGTGTGGAGTGCAGACCCCCTACAAGGGGAGTTTTGCTTCTTGACGGTAGGCACTAAAGTGACACTAAACTCAGGCGTTAAATCTTAAAAATGCATTCAAGTGAACCTTTGCCCCCTTTGACTAAAAATCACATCAGCATACAGCTCTGCATGCCGCTATGAAATCATCTTACATTCATTAGCTAAACAAACATATTTTTAAATTTACTTAAAAAAATTTTTTTCCCCATTTCCTGTTTCACTTTAGCACAAATGATGTAATGTGCCCATTGGAAAGGATACATCAGCAGAGCATTGCTGGGAAATCTCATCTGTAATCTCAGGAGATCTCAGGGAAAGGCATTCCCCC